AGTCACTTTGGGGGTCCCAGGAAAGAGATGGTTCAGGGCATCCCTCACCTGTGACCTTGAGATACAATGGGTCACTGGGGTGTGACCACACATAGGAGTTGAAGCTGGGAGAAACATAGCATCTGTAGATCCCCCCATGAGAGGTATTCACAGGGCCCACAGGGAAGACAGCCTGCCCCCTCCCATGATAGGTCGTTGACTTCATGCGTCTGGGTGGGTCAGCTCCTCCTTCCTTCAGCAGATGGAAAGTGTCCAAGGTGGTCTCTGAGCTACAGGAGAGGAACACGTTCTCTCCTGATGCCACCACAGGGCCTGGGTGGGATGAGAGGGAGGGTGCACTGTGCACTCCTGAGGGAGAAGGAGGGAGCTGTGTTAAAGGGGGACCATCAGCCCACATACCCCAGGTGTGGACTGTGAGGGCTGAGGTCCTCTGAGTCCCCACTCCATTCCCTTCTGCCTGTGAGGATGACTCCACTGTGGGAGGGGACCCAGCTCCTCTCCCTCACCTGTCACAAACAGGGGCAGGGTGTCACTGAGCTCTGACCAGCCATTCCTGTGGGTGTTATATGCACACTGATATAGTCCTGCAGTTCGGGTGCTCATAGATTCAATGAAGAAAGCAGCCTTGTTGCTGGAGTCCTGTGGGGCCTCTGTTTTCAAGGGTTTGGAGACCCTCAATTTATACAGATGGTAGACATCAGCCTGCAGAGGCCCCTGACACCAGATGGTCACAGGGCTCCCGTTGATGACCACTGGGCTGGGGTCAGCCCAGATGGAGGGTTTGGGGGAGCCTCCTGGAAAGGAATCAGACCTGAAGTGTCAGTGGAGTCCTTCTCCCCTCAGCTTCCCCAGCTGTCACTCAAGGCCCCTCCCAGACTGGTCACCATCAGCCCAGACCCTCTGTCCTCCCCACAGCTGCCCACGAGTTCATTGGTCTGAAGCAGGAGGTCTGAGGGAGGACTCACCTGCTTGTACCCGGTTCCACAGGCCCTGACAAAACCCTGGAAGAGAGTTCCCTGTTAGAGCGTGTCCCCACCCCCC